TGTACGAAGTACTTTCTCTCTCTTTCCCACTCTCTTTCTCTCTCTCTCTTTCTCTCTTTCTCTTTCTCTACTTAGACAATGTGATATTAATTATAATTAACTGCCATTCAGGAAAGTTTCGCGAACAATTCTGCGGTATTACGTCCGCCGGTAATAATGAACTTGCAGCTTTCCTATCATTTACATTCTCCCTAATTCAACCCGAGCTTCCTGTACAACGCAATGCTAACTTTCTCTCTATGTGCGTTTCTTCTTGCCTATGTGTGTACGTGAAAGAAAAAGAAAGAGAGAGAGAGATAGAGAGAGAGAGGGAGAGAGAAAATCGAATAACTTTTTGTAACTATCCAATGTCCTTCAGAGCATGCAAATCTTATTGCTCGAAGTAAGATTTCTACGAACAGAGAACATCCCAATTAAATTTTCACGATCTTTCACGTACATTTTAATTACATATCTCTCTTCTTTCTCTTTCTCTCTTTCTCTCTCTCTCTCTCTCTCTTTCTTTCTTTCTTTCTTCTCAGTCCCACTTCTTGCTCTTATTTCTTCCTTCTTTTTCTTTTTTTCTTATTTCGATCTAAACAGTGTTTTAACTTCTCGTTAAAATGACGTTTAAATGATCAAACAAATGGAAACGTTTGTCGTAAAATAATTTTATAAATTCGTATTGTTTTTTTTTTTCTTTTCTTTGTGTTATGTTGATTTTTTAACAAATTTTCTTCTAATTTTACTTTTGTTACAATTTTTTTTTTATATTATATGATTTGAATCGTTCGAATTATAGATTACAATTAAAGGTTTAAGATATTGAAATAAAATTCGACAATCGATAAAGAATCTTTAAATATCTCTAGGAATAATTTAGAATGATAAGAAAATAAATCGTTAAATGATAAGAAAGATTCGATGTCGAGTTTCTTGCCAACAATAATTACTACAATGCGATACCACAGACATTGTTAGAACTAGGTGGTATGGTTATGATATCCCAAGACTTACTTCCTCGTTGTTCTTCATTTCGAAAATTGCAGTTAGCCATGTGCAGTTAGACGACGTATTTAATGATTTTTCTGTTCAAATTTGTCATATGCTTTCTCGTTAATCGATTTTAACCATTACTAACAAAAATAGCCGAAAATAGAAATAACATTATAAAGAAAGAAAAAAAAAAATGTTACCTCGTTGAAATTTCGCAACAACCTTTTTCATTGATTAATTTCAATGTCTGAAAAATGATCTGCGCAAACGATGTAAATAAAAATTAGAAGAAAAAGAAATTAAATAACGAAAAACCTCCTTTTAAGAAGAAAATGGTTTTAATATAGTTTTAATAAAATAAAAGAAAAAAAAAATATATATATATATATATAATTTCATATATATACGAACCTTGACGAAAGAATATAAGCTATTGTAATACAATTTTATACGCGAATAAAAGGAAAACAAGAAAAAAGTTACGAATTAAAAATAGAATATCCCTATAGAAATTTTATAACACCTTCTAGTATTAATTAATTTATACTTTAAAAATGATCCGTACTAACGATGTAACTAGAAAAAAAAAAAAGAGAAAGAAAAAGATAATAAAAACCCAACTTTTGACGTTCGAGCAAAAAAAAAAAAAGACAAACATAGAAAAAAAGGAGGAAGAATAATGGTTTCGTTAAAGTAAATAAAAAAAAAAATTTTATACGTAAGTGAACCTTGATGGAAAGAAGGAAGGAAGGAAGGTATGGTAGACGGTGGTTTGGTTTGGTGTGGTGTGGTGTAGTGGTTGCGTTGTTTTCGTGGGAGTGTAGTTCTTGGAGCGAATAAAAGAAGGTAGAATTTGATAGGGGATGATCGTGAAGCATAAAGTGAGATAGATAGATGGAAATAGAGATAGAGATAAAGATAGAGATATAGCAATAGAGATAGAGATAGAGACAGAAATAGAGATAGAGATAGAGATAGGGATAGAGACAGAAATAGAGATAGTGAGAGATGGAAGACAAATCCAGTTTGGAGCTTGCACACGCTTGGCCATACTGTTGGAATTCAAGGGTCGCGGGTTATGCCGCATTCGGTGGTATGTAGTAATTAGCAACATTGCTCCGAGATATCCCAAAGGTGGTAGCTCGAGAGAGTGGGAAGGCTCGAGCATCGCCGGTTTCCGCAGATTTCATTCTCTACCGAAGATATGACCTAACTTTCCTCCTTCATTTTCTCAATAATTATTAACGAAACGGAGAAACACAGAAGCAAACTGTTAAAATTTTCCGTGTTTTTATTCCAACATTTTTATTTCAACCGTTTACTACAATATACTTTTCTACACTTCACCCGTGTCCTAAAGCACACATACACAATACTCACATATTCTCTTCCTTCTTCAGAGTAGTAAAGGATAATATTTCTTACACTTTCATCTAAATAAAAACATATCTTCACTTATCATAGAGATTCAAGTAATTTACGCTATAACTAATATCTAATCCTGTTCCCCTACTAATGTAAACCAATGCTACAATTATATTTCTATACTTCAAATCATTTAATACTGTCTGTGAAGGTTCTAAACTCAAATTTTGTTCCATTGGTGTACTATACTAGTTTCGCTTCTTCAATATTATATTTCCTAGCCAATGATTCAATGTATTCACTTTAATCCAGTGTCATTTTCCCTTTATTATAATAATACTTAATATTTATACCTAAATAAGTGTTTACTTCTCCTAAATCTTTCATAGCAAATTTCTTGGAAATTTCTATTTTGATCTCATTGAGCCTTTTCTTATTTCTCCCACATATTAATAAATCATCAATAAATAATATTAAGTAAATTACGTGAACCTTTTCGTCATTTATGTATAAGCAATAATCATTTTTACTTCTTTTAAACTTTAATGTCTAGGTATAGTCATCAAAACACTGCAATCAGTACTGAGGAGTAATGTAACTAACAAACACGCTATATCTGCACAACATTTAGCAGCTACTGTAAGGATATTAACGACTGCTTTACAGACTTTTACAAATGTTAACTCAGAATTACGTGACGTAGCAATAGAGAGATTAGCTCAAGCTGTGAGTGTAGCGATATCTGCAAATTGTATTTATGGTTACAAATGTTAGTAGATTTTGCTAATACTTCTAAGTCAAATATCAACTTGAAAAGATAAGCAAAAAGATAATGATTTTCATTGTTACAGAAGAATTACCAGCGTTATTACAACCACTCGCATATTAACACTTTCTAATTAAATGGACTTTTCAAACGTATACTTTTAAAAATGCTTTAAAAGTATTCTTAACATTTATTCTTTCTTATTATCTAAAAAAAAAAGTATTTTATTAAAATGAATAATCTAAACGATAAATATTAAATGATTTTTAGTGCCTAAATAAATTATAATTATTGTATTTCTGTAAAAACATAATTATTATCATTAATTGATATTTTGATAAAAATGAATATTTTTTACTTTTATTAATTTAGAATGGCTTAAAAGTTCGTTTCTTTTTAATTTCTTGTAATATTGTCTTATCTAATTCGAATTTCTTTCGTAATTCCGACAGATGTTGTTTCTTCGATTTACGAATTTGAAATGTATAAAAGTTGAGCAATTGTTTTTTGCGGTTCTTTAATGCTACATTAGTTCTTATCTTATTTATAGTAGATTCTTTTCTACTAGTAGCAAATTTTCCTCTTTTTCCCGGCTCGTAACAGTCACTCATCCAACTTCTTCTGCTTTCTCCGCAGATTTTTGATTTGCAATACGATCTGAGATTCTCTGATCATACATAGACATATTTACATACTTATCTCTTTCTTTAGATCTTTTTCAGATCGTAAAGAATCATTGTATTTGGTACACCATTTTGCGAAACCTGTTAAATATGTTCCTTTTTCAATTTACTTTTTATTTTACAATTTACTTAATATTTTAATTCCAACATTTTCATTATCAATTTTCCTAAACACGCATAATCTATTATCGATAGGACCACCTATTAAAAGAACTTCTGCCATGTCTTATTTATGGAGTAATTTTTTTTCTATCAGCTTCTGTTTATTATTGGGTCAGTAGCTTTTATGCGAACACTTTTTATCGAGAATCGTGAATAAAAGTTTTTATAATAAAATATTAATAGAATAACCCTGACTCATATCTTCATTTTGTTTTATTAGAAATATTATTAAAACGGTAGTTAATAATTTATTTATATTTAACAAGATAATATTTTATACACGTTGATTATATATTTTTCTTTTATTTTTTCAAATACTATTGCAAATAAATTGTGAAGGTGTTTTCTATCTTGGTAATTTTTTTTCTTCTTCTTCTTCTTTCATTTTCTTGTTTATTTTTTTTTTTTTGTTTTGTTTTCTTCGTTTTAAATAAGGAGAAAACGAGAGAAGAAACAAGCAACACTATAGCGACAGAAGTCATTTAATAATTTGCATTCCTAAACTCGAAAAAAAACTAACGAAGGAAAGTTCGAGAGAAGTAACGAGTAGAAGAAGAATGGTTTTGCCATTTGCAATCTTGCGCGACTAAAGTTTATCAACCTCGTAAGAGGGGTTATCTGTAATTGAATTATCGTTTTAGTTTAGAGTTTTAGATACTAACAAAAAGCAAGTAAAAGAGAGAGAGAGAGAGAGAGAGAGAGAAAGAGAAAATATCTCTATGAAATAATATCCTCTTTCTATCTTTTTTCTCTTATCTTTTTCTAACATGCACTTAAAACACAATCTTATAAAATAATGAACGATTTAAAAATAATATTTATTTAAAAATATCATTTTACAATGATTTATAAATAATTTCATTTATAAATCATTGATTGAAATTGAGAAAAATCAACTAAAATTCATAATTTCTATGAAATCGATTGATCGAAGCATAGACGCGGGAAAATTTAAAACATCCTCGCTATCGCGCATGCCCGAAGCAAATGGTTTCCATATATAAGCAACATAACCAAACGTGAATGACGATAAGAAAAAGTAAGTATATAATAACAAGCATGAGGTTAAGTAATATTAATCCAATGTGATCATAGATATGAAAAAGAATCTTCCTATATGTCTTTCAGGCATAAACATTATTCATTTGTTCGTTAAGTGTCTCCTGTTAATGACAATGACTACAGATGGAAAAAAAATCATGTCGATTAAATCTAATTCATTAGAGATTGCTAATCTACAGGATACTCAAACACCCATTGGTGTACGTCTTTCTGGAACTTATATGCGGTAAGTAAAATCTATATTAAATTTAATTATTTAATTTCCTTTTTATATATATATATATATATACAAAAATTCAATCAAAAAGTTTTGGATTTAGTTTCTACAATGTGTTGCAGGAGTTTTGCTTATGTTACGCTTAAGGATAGATTACCTATAATATTAACAAAAATAATAGACAGCTTTAGTCGTAATAAAGAACAAATCGAACTAAAATATGGACAGGTGAATTTTATTTTAATTATAATTTATAATATGTACTGCAACGTTATGGTTTTTATTAATACAATGTCAATGTGTCGCAGGAAGCTATTCAAGAGCTTAAAGAAATAGTTGGATTTATAAGTCAATTGAAGAATGAGATTGTTACTAATAAACCTTTGAAAATATTACCAACGATAGAGAACGATGATGACAATGACGTGCATCTCTGGAACAAGTATCTGGAAGATAAAACTAAAAAAGAAGGAACCGCACCAACTTGGTTTAATACAGAATGGTTGTACTGCGAATGCTACATGTATCGTACTCTCAAACAAAAATTTCTTCTCATGTATGTTTAAAAAATACAACAACAACAAAAACATATGACATTCTATTAAATCATAGAGATGATTTAATTTATAATGAAATAATTTATAATTTTACAGGAATGCATTGCGTATGTATGATCCGTTTGAAGAACAGAAAAGGAATGCTTTCATTAATTCCTTGATTACTATAAAACTTTTAAGCAAGTACTTGTTAAATATCGTGGACAAATCTAGATTAATAGAAGAGGCAGAAAAGAAACAAGAATTCATTAAATTCGTTCAATTAAATCTATGGGGGAACAGGTAAGACCGATATTTCTATGAGTATTTTGTATACGTATACATAAATGATTATTTATTATATTAATTTTTTTAGATGCGATTTATCTCTAAGCGCAGGATCTGATATTAGTCAAACAAGTAATCCCGTAGACCAATTACCAGCTCTTTACAATGATGTACTTGTTGATGCAACTGATTTTGCTTGGCAACTTCTTAATAAACAAAAAGCGAACGATTCTAATATCGTAGACATGGTATTAGATAACGCAGGATATGAACTTTTCACTGATATATGCTTAGCAATCTTCCTAGTTCAATTTGGATTAGCTGGAAAAGTTCGCTTTTATGTCAAACGTTATCCTTGGTACGTAAGCGATACCACTACCCCTGATTTTCATTGGACATTGGACTATATGAAAAATTCTTCTAATTCGGACTTAGAAAGAATAGCGAACCTATCTTATGATTACTTAAAAAACAATACATGGACCATCGAGGTAATAACATGCGTACAATTAAATTATTTCATATTTTCCATAGACTATATGTAAAATATTTAATATTTATTATCTTTATACAGGAAGAATCCTATTGGACGGGTCCTTATGACTTTTCAGAAATGAAAGAAAAGGATAAAGTATTATATGCCAAATTATCAGATGCTAAATTAGTTATATTTAAAGGAGATTTAAATTATAGAAAATTATTAGGCGATATCAATTGGGAATATTCAACATCGTTTATAGAAGCATTGAGAGGTTTCCGCCCAACTAATATTTTGAGTTTGAGAACAGTGAAGTCTGACGTTTGCGTTGGATTACCACCTGGAAAAGGTGAATTGTTGTACAAGAAAGATGTAAATTGGATGTTCACTGGTCAATATGGTCTCATTCAAGCAACTATCGAAAGCAGTTGTAATTGTTCTGCCATATGTTAATGAACAAAATATACATCGGAAATAATATTATTATTAAAATCTACGAAAATGGAAAAAGAAAATTTTTCAGATTTTATATATATATATGTATATGTACACACAAGAATTTCTAATTTATCTTGATTCATGTAAATATTTTAAAAGTAAAGTATCGATGTTGAGATGTACGTATAGATTTACTGAATCTTATAAATTTTTTCTATATCTCTTTCTTTTTTCTCTATTTTATTTAGAACAAATATTATTGTATATATTCTCATTATAAATATAGTACAAATCGAAACAAAAGAAATAATGTATAGACTGATAAACTGGAAATAATATAATTGTGATAATATTAAATTTTCATTTATTTTTCTCGAAAAACCAAAAAAAAAAAAAAGTCTTATACGAATAAATTTTATTCCACATTGTCGACTTAGTTTTTCGTGTAAAATCACCTCCTACTCGCTTGTCATCAATTACAGAACCTTATGTATACACAAGAAAACAAAAAATCAATACTTTTTACAATTACATTTTTCATAATTGGATTAATCGGTCTAACGAAAGTAATTATTTGTATAGATTAAGTTTTCTAAGAAACAAAAAAATTGTCTTTCCTTTTTAAAAAACTAATATTCAAATGATTTTTGGATGTATCATCAGCAATATTTAATTTATTACATTCAATACATGTTTATAATGGTAATGATAATAATAATAATAATAATAATTGTAATAATAATAATAATCTATTTTCCTGTGAATAGATAATATCCTTCTAATCTATAAACGTTCGTTTGTACACGGCGATGTATAATAATATGTATCTCAAATCACGAAAAGAAATAAAAAAATATCTTTTTTAATGAAGAATATTGTTGCTATAATTTTGTTTAAACCGGTCCTGGAAAAAACGCAGGATAGATCGCAACCATGTATTATATTTTAGATTTAAATATATAAACGCACATATATAAATTCTACAAATTGTAATGAGAATGAATTCATAATAATTGATCGAAAGATGATATATTTAAAAATTTGTTGTTTTTTTAAATACAAATGGCGCGATCATATCAATGCGATTATGTCTCTTTAATATATATTTATAATTATTTATATATATATATATATATATATATGCGTATATATAATATATCCCTAATACTTACAGTTCGTTCTCTTTACTTTAATCATACTTTGTTCTTTTTTTTTTCTTTATTATTCACATGCCTTTATACAATATTTATTTGAATTATTTTACATTTATTCCAAGCGTCATACAATTATTTCCTTAGAACCAATGCGTTGAGACTGTTAAATATACACACATCTCTTTTTTAATAACCATAGTACCAATATTTTAATCTCGTAAAAGCAAAAGAAAAAAATATATATATATATATTTATAAGACTTAAGTATACGTACATGTATATGCGTGATTTTTCTTTATTTTTTTTTTTTTGCTGATAATATATAAAAAACGTTTTACCAGCGCAACACATGTTTCAATGGTACAGTATGTACTATTCTACAAAAATTTATCATTTAGTTATTTTCTCATTTATACAGTAATACACTTATATCGTACACAAAAAAAAAACAAAATAAAAAAAATAGTTTCATTTTTTGTAATACATGTTATATTTCTTGTAATCCCTATTATAAGAATAAAGGTATATTACATATAGAAGTGCAACTGAAATAATAAATCTCGATTAACAATAATTTGTATATAATGCATTATTTACAAGTGATTTACAGTGATCAAACAAATGGGATAGAATTTTAGAAAATATATTTGATTTTTATTTTACTTAGATTTTGATCATATATTCTTGCTTTAATATTCTATTATTATTGTTGTTGTTGCTGTTGTTGTTGTTGTTATTATTGTTGCTATTGTGTTACATGATTTATACTCGTAATGAAATTATTCCTGCTTTTTTTTTTTTTTTTTTTTTAAAGGAACAGAATTTATCCTACAGATCTTAGAATAAATAATTTAATCTCTCTTTTCTCCTTTGATAATTATACTTTCATATAATCAGACTATTATCCAAAATGGCGATGCATAGAAAATTTTATTTGTTTGTATGTTAAAATTTTTTCCAACGGAGTAATAATAATTAAAAAAAAAAAAAAAAGAAATAACTTTTCTAGATTTTTTTCTAGATTTAATTTAATTAAAAATATCAACGAAACTTTGCCATTGTAAGGAATTCTTTGTTATATTCCATATGACAATAACAAAATTATAATCACTTTTATAAATAAAAATATATTAAACATAAACAATTATAGAAAATTTTTTACGTTTAATACGATCAAATATTTAAATAAAAAAATAATATAAATCTTTTTTTTCTTTATTAATTAGAAGTTTCTTAAATATATGTACGGTCTTGTTATAAATTTATTGAAAATACATGTACGTCATAGTTTAAGATACTATTGTAAGAAAACATGTATTGTAATATCGTGTATTCTTTTTTTTATCATTGGAGAAAAAAAAATTCAAAATCTTCAACCAAGTGGCAGTAGAGCGTCCTTTTTAAATATATAAATCTATATTATCTATAATAAATTTGCTCAATCAATCCTAAATCATTTTACATTAAATTTGAAAAAAGGAAAAAAAAAGAAAAGAAAAATAAAATATATTGATTATAATTTGTAGAATTTTCACACGCAATTTAAACAGCTAATAACAAAGTAAAAAATAATAAATGCCCAACGAACTAATAGCAGTTGCATTTGATTGTTCAGCAAGCTACTATAACAAGATAAAATATATCAGTAAGTATACTATAATTGAACTATTACAGATATTTGTATCCCCTTTGAATAGACAGCTAATAAAATATTACAAACTAGTAAAAACAAAAAGAACTAAATTACGTTTAAAAATACATTAATATAATTATGATTATTAAAATACTCGAATGTTTTGTAGCCTGCGTTTAAAAAAAAAAAAAAAAATAGAAAAGCAAAATACTAAATAATAATATAATTCACCGAATACTTCGTTTAAATTAATACTTTTACAGTGACAACTAACTTACTAGTAATAATTTAAAATCTACGAAATATAAATGAAATTCACTGTATTTATCTCGATAATTCATTTAGATAAGTAAACCTTTTTTTTTTTAAATTACTACTTTTAATAAACAAACGATATTTTTAATAATTTTCTACAATGTTATTTTGATACAGCATCCAAACGAAAATCTACATCTAAAAAGAGTAATACATACGTGTTAATAGTTATTATTATTATTTCTATTTAGATATAATAGTACGGCACTGACATTGTTATTGTTAATTGTTGTATTCTAAAATACAAAATATAATTTATGCAGTTATTTGAAACATTGAAAATAATAATTTCTCATATACAAATAGCGTAATGCAAATGATATGTGTCAAAGAAAATAATTGCTATACTGCCACCCAGCGATCTTATAAATCTGTGCTTTGATTTGAAAGGAACTTCACTAGGAGAGATATACCCAAATGCAATATGGATGCCCGTAGGGAGGGACATTATTGAATTATAACTTAGTATAATATTTCCAATTTGATATACCGCCTTTTATATTATCTTCTATTCTTAAGCAACAACCAATGATGGTAGCAAATAACATAATAAATACAATTCGCCGTATATAAAAGGCCGTATCTACAAATATTATATGTGTGAAAATTCTATACAAAATGGTAGATACTAAATATTTAATAAGAAAATTCTTTATGATAGAGAATGTTTTCTTTTATTTCTTTCTTTTTTATCAAACCCTACATGGCACTAAATCACACTCCAAGTGCACATTCACACATGGAATTTCGTTACTTTATGATATTTCAAATCTGAACCTAATACACAGAGTTCAGTTATCAAAGTTATTAAATAATAATGGAAATGACTAATATATATATATGTATATATCCTAACACTGCATTTGGGCGCAGTCAAGTTATGTTATTTGGTCTGAATCATATGATTGTAAGAATGATCTCTCATTAACTATTTCTTTTGAAGTATTACAACTAAAAGGACATGCAAAATTGGTAATCCCACTGTTCGCACTATTATCCAATGTTTATAAGTTACATTTTAAATTAATAAAAACTGTGTTACTTAGTGAATGCGGCGAATACAGCCCATAATACAGGATTTGCATTAGGCTTAGCAGCTTCAGCTTCAAAATCTAGATCCAACAACGTTCGAACTCGGCGCATTGCTACTTCATAATCATCATCGCAGAGGGGTGCAAATGCATTCTCTAATACGTCAGCTGCATGGGCTAAAATCACTAATGCTAACGTCCGCCTATCCATACGACCGGCATCGTTTACCCAACGACCTAACACAGCTTCCTGAATCTGTAAATAAAATATTACTGCTCCATAAACATAAAAATCTTATAATCTAAGCTATACTACTAATACGTTAAAAGCTGATGTACGATAATTGTATGATTTTTGCAGCAGTAATATTAGAAGAGGAACGAAAGAAAGAAAACAAATAACGCATTCAAAATCGTGTACTGGAAATACCAAAACAGAATTTTTTTAAATGATTTTTCTACAAAAAAAGATGCACAAATAAATGATACGAGTTAACTTTTATAAAAAAAAAATGTAAGACAACTGTTACGAATGATATTTCCTTATCATTTTAGAGACTATTATGAACATCCAATTTAGAGAATGAAATACAAACAAAGAGATAAGATATTAGTTCCGTTACAATAAAGCACATGCATGTATTGGGTCTAATACCAAAAGCATAAAAAGATAGCTGCAATTAATTATAAATACATATATACTATAAAATATGAATTACCTTTTTAACAAGACGACTTTTGGCGAGATTATCGGTAAGAGGATGAGTTGTCATATCGAAGAGTAAGAAGTTCTGTTTTTCTGTGGTTAATACGCTTTTTTCAACAAGGTTCTTAGCTAATCTTTCTCTAACGTTTTTTAATTGATAACGAAGTTTCAAAGGATTCCACGTTTCACCTGTAATATTTTGATACGACAAGCCATAACAGAAAAGTTAAAGTATTATGACCAAAGTAAAAGAAAATTTATAGATTATTAACTTACCACTTAAATATTCTATCCAACTTGGAACGGTCTCTGGAGGATTAGTATCCTTTAAATGTTTCAATGCTTCATCCAACAAGACATCTCCCGTAGGTGCATCATTTTTTAAAAGAAGTTTCCTCGAGAGTAAACCTTTCTTACGCATACCAGCTTTTTCCAACTCAACACGACCACGGAATCCAAGTTCTGCCAAAATGCATCCACGCAAGCCTGAGCTTATGCAGTCGTTCCAAAAGGATGTATAACCCTAGGAAGCAATAACAAAACAAACTGTTAGAGAACAATAAAAAAAGGAACTAAAAAAAAGATTAAAAGATTGAATGTCCTCACCTCCTTGTCTTTGAGACCAAGGAGTAAGACTTCTTCCATAAGAGTCAACCTAGTTTCTTTGTCAGAATCATCGTCTATCGTAGGATTGGAATTAAGGTCTTTTTGAGATGAACAGTTAGTGTCCATACCGTTACCGGATGATTTTTCATTGTGACCAAGGTCGTTGGAACCATCCTGGCCGAGTCCACTACTGCTGCTGCTACTGTTAACCACTCTTCTTCTCTGCACCAACCCGTCACCTCGATTCATTCTTTGGAAGCAAATTTACGCACCTTTTGCGATATTGTCCGCGTGTCAGATACGCCACCGTGTCGACCTCCTCCACCTCCTCCTCCTCCTCACTTCTCTAAGATTAATTAAGCGGCTAACGTCTATTGCAAAGGTAATTAAAGTAAACCTCTCGCGGCATGTACAGTAACAAGAGGTAAACACAATTCTGTTGACGTTTCTCTCGATACAACCATATCTGTTTTCCAAGATGGCCAGCTACCTCCCGCACGGTCGTTGCTTTTTTATTTCGCCACTAGGATGCTATCGTATATAGTACGACCTAACGAACGACATCAGCCTTGCGATGAAGGAAAACTTCGTTTCAGACTTTTAATCTGCGATATCGTAACACGATTGAAAGTTATTACTTCCTCTTTACTCTCCTACCCCTCCTCCTAATACGCCTCCCACTTCTGTTTTTATCAATTATGAGATTTCTATAAATAATCTTTTTCACTCGATTGGAAGAAAATATTTATTTTAATCTCTAATCTTAAATTGAAATCACCTCGTAATTTGGAAACCGATTGCAAACGACGTAATCCGTGACCGTAATTGTTCAGAACGGAAGAATTTCCGTCAAAAGAGTGGTTGCCAAAAGCGCCACCTTCACAAGTCACGTGACTCAACCACTTATCACACGCGAGCTCCATCTCTTCTATCGACGCGCCAATTTAAGCGGCAATTTCAAATCTTTTCAAATTAAATAATTTGTAAATTCGATTATAATTAAGGATATAAACCAATAATTATTTATTTATATGTAATAATATTTAATATTATATATATCGAAGCAAATAATTATATTGATATAAAATCGAATAAATAATCGATTTAAATCTGATTCCATTTACTTTTTTATTGTTATCAATCGTAATACGAGTTTTTAAAATAATAGGACTATAAAATGATCAATGAACGATGCTACGTCCAAATATGCGAATACGTGTGTTTGAATATATACATACGTGCCCATTTTAAATCTTTCGTGCGTGACGTACTGAAAGTTTCAGCATATAATTTTTACTTGTACTTTATTCTTACCGTCAATCCTTAATCACGAAATGGTTTGACATAAAATCGATTTAATTTAATGGAATTAAATAGAATGTTGTGGAGTATCGATTTACGATTTATCCTACACCAATTATCGCCTTTTATCGTCTTTAATCCGCAATGCGGTACCTTCGAATTAATAAAAAACAATAAAAAAATTCTATCCCTTGTGATATTTAGTTAGAAAAAAGAACTAATTTCAAATCCTATATTTTCTTATGATAAAGAAAAAGTAAAATTGAATTCTACGCAACAATAAAATTGTACCAATAATTATTATTTATATAATATACCTTTTTACAAAATTCATTCCTCCTCAAATAAAAATATAAAAGAATTGATGATTACACGCTATAAAAATTTTTGTACAATTAAAAATTGCTAATATTTTAAATCAGGTTTATGGCGTTGCTGTTACTTCGGTATAAAACATAACGGATTGGTTGATTTTCTTTTCCTCCGTTATGTTTTCCTATTCAATAATAAAGATATATTGTATTTATCGCTACCAAAAAGAAACCGCATATCTCTATATAAACAAAAAAAATTAGAAAAATATATATTGCGTTGGTGATTTGGAAAGAATTCGTTGCATTTAACGAAAAGAAAGTAACTTTTTTTTGTAAATAGATGGTCACGATCCATTGGACATCAGTTGTTCTCGTGTTAACCAGGTTCAGCACGGTAGTCAGAGAATCTTTTCACAAGAGAAAGAGAGAGTAGGGATAGAGCGAATGATTCCTTCGAGGAAGGCGCGCGAACGTACCGAGAGGCACTTTCAGTCGTTCGGACCCGCTCGCTCGGTGGAAGTGTCCAAGCCATTTCTCGAATCCAAATATATATATACACATACGTATAAATAAAAACATAAATATATATTTCGATTGATTGCATTCGTGGTGTGAATTATCTCGAAACGATAAATATATTATCTTTTTCATTTTTGTTTTTTCTTCATATTTATTTAATTTACGTGTACAAGCAAGAAATCAAGGAAGAAAGAAAGGAAGAGAGAGATAAATATTGCAAAAAAAAAAATCATATAACAAGAAGAAGAAGAAGGATTAAAGGATCAAGAAAGATGCTGCGTTTGGACCACCACTGAGCAAATCAGTTCTTCGTCAGTATAGGTGTCAGGTGAGTGAGCAAGATCAAAAGAACTTTATCAAAATCGTTATCGCGATCCTCGATGATAAAACCTTATGTGTAAATATGTGTAGTTAAGTGTACGTGTGTGTTTGTGTTACCATTTCAAATATTAACTATGTCAACGAATAATATAAAAACGTCAATAACGGAAATTTTTCCATTAAAAGAAATTTTAATCCTGTCTTGATTAGCGAAACTTATGAAGCGTGACATATTCGTGAATATTAATTATTTACTCGAATCCACGATGATTCCTAAGCGGAAGGACGTTTTTATTCAGAATAAAAAGAAATAGATTTAATTTGATTTAGATTTAGATTTAGATTGTAGAAACGGTAAATGTGTTCGATTAGTTTTATTGAAACATACCAAGGAATAAATTTGAAAAAAAAAAAAATTGAATTTGATAGAAAAATACAACGTAAGATCGTTGATTTTTCATTGACGTTATCGTTTAAGTAAATTAGAACAGTGTCAATGCTATCGATTATTCATTGATTATTATCGCTCGCGTGTATGCGATAATTTTTAAAAGATACACAGTCTCATTGTTTAAGAAATTTACCAGTTAAATGAATTAACCTGCTATCGAAATGACGTCGTTATGTCTCTCGTGTCTAACGAAACAAAAAAAAAAGAGAAAGAAACAAAAAACCAAGAATGTGATTTAATTATTAATTAATTAGAGAGAATACATTTAGCCTCTTGTAATTCAGGATCTTCTTTCTTTCGTTCAGTAATCGTTCTTGTAAAAGCGAAATCATGGGAAAAAAATGCGTAACAATGTTGTTCGTCCTATTATTCATAATTAACGAAAGAAATAGTGACGTGTTATTTAATTATGTGAACACCCGGTATTACCACAGAGGATTCCACTTCAATTCGTCCTGACGTATAGACACTCACTCACACGTACTTACACACACATACAAATACATATTGTGCATATGTACGTAAGTATTTATCACTAAAATGAGGATCTACGGCCAGCTGATCCTCCTCCTCCGAGAGAGAAAGAGAACGTCGATGACCCGTCGACGTTCGTATATTCTACTTGCTCGTTACATTTCAATTTGCACGAGAAATAAACAAAGTTCGAACTAAAATAGATTTGCGTGGAGCAATAAAAAAAGAAATATCCTTACCGATAAGGGTTCGTTAAAAAGGAACGTGACAACGGAATTCCATCCCTTTTATTTTATTTTGTATATTTTGTATATTTAATTTTTTTTTTTTTTCATTTCCTTCTCGTTGCTGACCTTGCATAGGTAGGCAGGATATTTCGGTAAGGATTTTAACGACTTATCGTAAAACCTGAATCCCGAGGAAAGTCAGAAACGAAAAAGGTCTTCGAAAATTTTCAAAACTTTACGTCACGAACAATTCTTTGGATACAATGATACAATATAAAGTAAAGGTTCTATTGAAACTCTGCTGGAAAACGTGTAAATTTAGAAAGGATTGGGATTTCAACATAATAAAAGAATTTAATAATTTATCAAATCTATTGAGTATTAAAATCTATTGAATTCTAAAATAGAAATTTAGTTTCAAGATCACGTTGCAAATTGAATATTATTTATTACAAAAATTTGGACGATTAATATAAATGTATTTTAATATATACAAAGATTCAGATATGGAATGATGATTTTCATGCTAAATGAATATTATTTATTAAAAAATTTGAACAATTAGTATAATTGAATTTTAAAATATAAAGAGATTCAGATTGAATGATATTTATCATGATAACTGTATATATAATATAAAAATAATCGCTCCTAGAACTTGGAGATAACAGGACGAGGTTTTAATAATAGGAAAAAGAAGAATTGTATATTATTTATTATAAATAATTTTAACAATTTATACAAGTCTATTTGAAAATGGAGAATCGAGATTGAACGATCAAGTGGATGCTTCTCGTTGAAGAAGCCTTCGAACAATTAATTATAATTGATACATACTGGTAGGATAATAAAAATTCAAGATCGATGAAGACGGTGACCCGTGTCCAAGTTTACCTGGAGGAAGTTGCCGTTCGTTAATTGATTCGTTCGCGTGGCTCGTTATTCGACGGCCAGGGTTGCTACTGTTAAATAATACCATCGAGTTTCTTCTTTCTTTTCTTCTCTTCTCTCTTCTCTTCTCTTGTTTATCTTCTCTTGTTTCTCTACCTCCTCTTTAGCAAAGTCTAGAGAAAAAGAGAGAGAGAGAAAAGCTCAAAGACGACGACGGGTACGGAACGAGAAGGTACGGTAAAATCCAAGTGGCCGGAGCGTTACATTCCACGGATGATTCAGGTGTGCCCCTCACGGTTCCCCCCTTTTCGTGGCTCTCTTCGAGAAAGCAGCAGCACCTCTCTCGATAGACTCGATGCACACTCTCTCGATACTCCCGCTATACTCGGAAGCTAACAACTAATCTTTACATTCTAATATTTCATATAATCTTCCATCTACAATATCAAATTTTGATATTTCATATTATTTTATTTTTCATTTTACTCTTTTCAAATATTTCTAACTGCAAGTCACGATGAATATAATTTATTGTATTTTCTACGTATAATATTAAGTGTATAGTAATTAATTAAGTAGCTTTGAAAGAAATCTAATATTTATTTTGTATACGAAATAGTTTTCATTATTTTCAACGATTTTGGTCCATCTTTCAGGCAACTGCTGAATTCCTTGACAAAGAAAAAGAAAAGATGACAATTTTGATGTAACATGACATCGAATTAATTGCTATACTTTGAATATAAATTTAAAAATAAAGAATATTTATTGAATTTGTCTTTTTAATTTTTATAAAATTCTAAGACTATGCGTCACGAATTGATAAATGTTAACTTTCTCGATATTTAGATAAGGGTGACAATTCGTTACGTGGAAAATGAGGAATACATGTATTTCGACATTAACTTAGATTTTATATAACGTCATTGAGAAGGAAATACTCTGCGTGAAAACACGCACATTTTGCAACGCAACATTGATGCAGGTGGCAACACGCGTGATTGCTCGTGTCAACAAAACCACCTTTGGTTACGTCAGAAAGTCGTTTCGATCTTTATATAACCGATGGCTATAGGCCGATTATCTTCTTTTTCTTCCTCTTCTTCATTTACAATTATTCATAATTCACAGGTTTAAAAAACCTTTACAATTGATTTTAATCACTTTCATTCGAAGCGATTTATAAATGTTTAAGGTGTGAAAGAAATGTTTACTTGAAATTATTCGTCTATAATTTTTATTAAAACAAAAAATCATATTAAAATTCATGCCGACATATAAAACGTCAGAAAGTTTTCGAAAGTGATAATGTAATCGTAAATAATAATAAAACTGCAATAAATCTAGATGACGAATCGATCCTTTTC